CACATCGCAAAATGTGCTGATCAATGCAAAAAGCTTTTGAGGTTTTTTTTTCTGAAAAAAAAACTTGAAATAATCCTATGCGGGATGAATACAATTGTGCGAACTTTTATCGATCGTTCTGTCCGTACTTTTTATCAAGACCTGACCGCAACGGGTTTGAAACCTCTCTCTAATCGCCATATGTCATTCGAGAAGATTTACCGTTCTATAGATTGAACCGCTCGAGACGAAATCGATTGCTTTTCTCCCTGGGGCACCATCAATTTCTACTGGAGGCTGTAGCCCGTAAATTTGAAGGCAGGAGGCACGATAAGTCCCCAAGACGTGTAGGGTTAACACGTATAGCAGGACAGAAGTCCCTGTGAGCAGGCGCTCGTGGCGCTTTTTTCCATAGAAGGTGCCCTTATAGCGCCTCATTAGGCTGTAACTACCGACCGGGAAGCCCACCGTACCCGCCGCCTACAAATGTCCGACCCACGCCGATGCTCGTATCGCTTCATTTGCGAAGTACCATATAAAGCGAACGAATTGATATGAAGCGGCTGCGGTGCTGGATGTATGAGCACATATAATCAGCGTATCTACCCGGTTATTGGCCCAATACCAACGGAAAACTCGTCCAAAGCCGCTTTCTGAGCCGTGCAGAGCGAAGGCTCTTCTGCAAGTTTTCAAAAATTTTCACCTGTGTAGCACCCCTGCTGCTTTTACACAATACTAAAATAACCTGCCTTACACCTTTATGCCAGAAGATACCCAGAAACATACTGCTAACTTCCATCGATAGCGAATACCCTTTATCTCCTGTCCATTTCATGTAACCGGATCCTCAAGCTCACTACCATTCTACGATCGAGGATAAAGACAAGTTTCTTACCTAAAGATTAGGTGACTGAAGTTATGTAAAGCACGCGCCAGGCTTTTGAGCTGCATTCTAATCGTGGAGCATTTGCAAGCCCATTTAGCACTCAGAACAGCGTTTCTTGTGTCACCCTCCAAGGTGAGCTATCTTCTTGGCCGATCGCACAGCTGTACAGCTCTATTGTATTGAATATTAATATTAAATTCTACAAAGATAAAATTAGAAAGAATGACTCGTTGCCCTTCATGACTTAGCCCACTTGATCTTCCTGTCGGGAATTTGACCTTGAAGGGTACGTCAGATGTGAAGACAGCGGTCTCAGAGATTGTGCTCAGCTTGAAGATAGTCGAGCCTGCGGATGGAAATTTGTTGTCAACAAGCATTTATTTGCTTCTTTGCACTTTGCCGTTACCATCTCACCATCAGATGCTTTATTATTATTTCAGATGCGAATATCCTCCAGGACCACCTGGTCTACCTGGTCGAGATGGGATTCCCGGTCCTGCTGGAACACCAGGTGCGCCAGGATTACCAGCTCGCTTGCCTTGTGATCCACCCATTGACTACGCAAAGCTCTGTCCTGATCCATGTCCTGCTGGTGTGCAAGGACCACCTGGAGAGACGGTTGGTTATTTCTTCGATTCTTCTATTACTGTCTTCAAAGCGGTTTCTCTATTTCGGTGCTCAATGTCAGTAGCAGCGTTCTTCCCCCACTTTTCGTAAACCCTTATTGGCACACTCCACATATGGGCGGGGACACTAGTCCATTGGGGTACCGTCGTTGGCGCCTCTCCTTCTTACCGTCTTGAGGACGGGGTGCAAAAGTTATGAAGTCCCAAAGGTTGTTTGTCCCGCCCATAGAAGCGTAGTATCTGCTTCCTTAAGTATCTTTGGTTTGTTCTGAACTCAGGATACTATGAGCAACAAGCTTATGCTTCCTGTGACGGCTCCATCGCAGAAGAAAGCCTGAACCGCAGATTTTGAACAGTAGATTTTTCGGAAATAACGTTTGTATTTAATTTATTGTAGTAATTACATAGTATTCCAAATATTATGGTAGGATAGATGAGACTGCAATTTTTCCAGGGACCTCCAGGCGACAAAGGTGTCATTGGAATCCCGGGATCACCCGGAAAACGAGGCTTTGACGGAAAACTGGGAGACAAAGGAGAGGTGAGTGAAAAATTGTATGCATATTTTGTTTATCGGTAGGTGAAAAATTGTATACATATTTTGATTATCCCCTAAAAGTGATGTTGTTGTTATTGCTATCAAAGGGCACAGTTCGCATCGATGTTATAAGCGGGGACAGCCCCACCATCGTATTATCGCGTTGATGCCCTCCTTTCTCCTACCGTAGGAAAAAGAGATGCGTCAATGAGGAAGACACAATGATAGACTTGGCACTTGCGATGAGCAGGGACTGTAGCCTGAACTGTTCAACTTTATTCATTCCGGAGAAAGCCATGTATTCAGACTGGTCCACGAGGAATTCCTGGTCTCGACGGAGAAATCGGTGATCCTGGAGAGGATGCCATTCCACAACCGTTTATTCCAGGTCCACCAGGAGAGCAGGGAGACGAAGGACCACCTGGGCCACCTGGTAAAATTCCGCTTTCCTTACACATTATTTGAAAATAGGTACTTATTTCAGGACCCGTGGGAATGCCAGGAATCGATGGTCCAATCGGCCCGGCAGGGCCTCGTGGAAAGAAGGGGAAAGACGGATTTCCAGGAGGAAAAGGCGATCCTGGACCAGAAGGAGCAATGGGCGAAGCAGGGGAGGACGGCGAGAAAGGGGTAAGTCTCTAGAATGTTTGCTATTTACCATCGATCCCTTAGCAGGTAAATCTGTTCATGGGTTCACTCAGCTGTCCACGAAGGCGATAGCGGAGAGTTTCCTTTATCCCTTTTCAGTTTACAAACCGTTCACTTCTGCTCTGCGAGGTGAGAAGAGATATGGCATTCTGAGTGTTCCACGTTGAAATGCTAAGGCCTTGGCGTGCATGAGCTCGTCACAGCTTTTCCCTCCGCGACGTGGATATAACACCCTGTACCCCCCCCTACGCGACAGGCCCCATGGACGAATATTTTAATTCTGGATTGGAGCGATTACGGAAGGAGAGAAAAGAAATCAGCTGTCCATCTTTCCTCGAGTTCTGGCTCTACTTCCATACAAAGAGAGGAGGCGTCAATCGTGGGAAGAAAGAGATGGCCAGCCACGAATTCAGGCATAAGGCACGATAATTCGGTCTTGCTCAGAGATACACTCTAGTTCGCTGCGGACGGTTGGGCGTGTCAGGCAGTATGGGTGTGTCATCCCGTCGAAGCCGTTCTCTGCTTTCTCGTGGAAGGCCTGAATGCAACCCAAAGAAGTGTAGAAGTGAGTAATAAAAACGTATCGACACGGGTCGGGATGTGTGGGCGATTCTATCGGTCGGACGATAAGTGGATCGTCGCGCCGAGTGGGCGGAGCGGCGGGCCGTTGCGGCCGTCCGCGTGCAGAGTTCTGCTGGCGCGCGCATTCAATTGTTAAAGGGTTGACGATCCCTTTAACAATTTGAAAGAGTCATCCTATTTTGGTTATCTTTTTTCCTATTATGTCTTTCCTATCCTATTTCCTTTCCTGTTATGATTATTGACTATTACTCTTACTCTTGAGGTTACCTTTGAAACAACGCTAATCCCTTGCTCCAGTGACAACTCGGGAGTACGGTAATGCAACGCCGGGATCGCCGCGCCGCGTGGCCGCGCGACACGCCGCGACAGCGACCGTTGCGACATGACCTGTCTGCGACCGATGAATCGCCCGGGTCCCGACACCGGTCATATCATTTGCTCGCTTTAACAACTGGTGGAGAACGGGTGGCACCGCGCCAAACTCATCCCGCCTGACACGCCCAACCGTCCGCAGCGAACTACACTATAGTAGCAATGGTGCTACTTAGTAGGAAAATGACTAAAGAGCAAAGTGAAGCGGTCAAAAATTCGTGGAAAACCTTTGTCTTGCGTGGCATTGGACGAGCATTTGTGGAGAGACACGAGGGAAAATACAATGCACCAACAGTATCACGAAGAATTGGACCAGATGAACCTGTACAGCCTGATGGGCACAAGCGATAAAGTTGCAGCAGGCTTCTTGTGCATTTCCAAGCCGCGAAGAGGGAAAATTGTTAGTGGATGGAGATTCAAGATCTATTCACTTGAGACTAGATTTTTTCGCGAAATTTTTTATCGTGAAGAGGGCCATCTGCGGGTACTGTTGAAATGCCTACAAACTTTTCAGGTCTGTCCGACGTACTGTGCAACCGATGGTGGTGTGTTCTTCGTGCAACCGCCAGATTGGTTCTTCGACAACTGAACCCAAAATGGCCCCTAGAGCTTTCACTCCGCCTTTGCTCACATCTCATTGTACAGTATCATTTGCCTGATCAGGTCATCAACATTCCATTAACTCAACTGCATTTCGTGTTCGTGTAGGAAGCTCAAGTCAGATGTGAAATTGTCGATATTTTCTGGTGTTTTCAATGTTTTCTCACTCAGTTGTGATCTGAAAAAATCATCAGTGAAAAAAAAGATTCTTCAAAATATTACAAAGATAATGACGTTCGATGAAAATGGATAAAAAAAGCTCCGCAATGACCTACGAAAATGCAAAAGATTAGGAAAAAAGGAAAGGTAGCGTGGTCTTACAAGTTTGGTGTCAGTTTCGCTGAAGTATGTAGTAAGGTAAAAAAGCTGAGGCGCAAAAATACTCCAGTGGTACCGCCCTCTTTCCAGCGACTCCGCCTCCGAACTCCGCCTTCAAGGTAGGCCTTGCAGCCAAAAGCTACGGACAAGTGGCGTGAAATTGATGCTCTACTGTCCATTATTGGCTCGAAGGGTTATTCAAAGGAATCAGCCGATTGGACTCGTCCCAATGCACGGTCTTTTGGTCTTTCACAGGGTACAGCATTGTGATGTGTGAAGTATTGGTGTCAGTGCGACCTTCCTCTGAAAAAGGTCCTGGGACGACCTCCCCACTAGGAAGGTTCTCGGTACAACCCCCCTCTCTTCTCCACACCTACCTATCGAATTCCCACATTTTTCAGCTTTCCAATCGCACCCAAAAATTTCCCGTCGAGTAGGGGGGGGCAGCATATAGTATGCATGAAACAGGCAAAATCACGCAAAAAGTCAACAACCGAGAAATTTCTTCTCAACGCGGCGATTTTCTGTCAAAGCCACACACGACCCCCCCCCTCACTCGACAACGACTAAATACGACCACCCCCTCCTTAGCCGGAAAGTACGACCCCCAAAGTGTTTCACACAATGATGGTGTACCCTGCCCGTTCAATTGTTTGGGGCTAGACAGCCTCGTTTTCTCTTCACGGACGAGCCACTAGAAAACTTATCTCGATGTTTAAAATACTTTAACGTTAGGTCTTGCGAGGAAAACTTAACGAACAGATCGTAATTGTCCCTAGCACTCAAATGCTCGTCAGTTTGAAGAATTTTGATTGCAAAAGTCGTGGTCAGTGACAAAAGTGAGCACTCCCATCATTCATTGACACGACATTCTGGCCAAAATATCATCTGAGGAGTACGCTTCATTTTTTGTCTCCCCCGCACTATCATGACAATACAGTTCCTAGCGTTTTTGGAAAGCACTGAAAAGCAGTTTACGGGGCTTCATACCAGTCTATTCGCTTCATATAGTACTTCGCGAATTAAGCGATACGAGCATTAGCATCAGTCGGTTATTGGGGTTGGGCGGGAGCGATAGGCATCCGGGTCTGTATGTTGCAGCTTCCGCAGGGCGCTACAATGGTACCTCCTTCGGAAAAGACGCCACGCAGCTCGCGGGGGTGCCTAACTCTTTCCTGGTAGACGTCTTAATCCTACACGTCTTGGAGAACTATTGTGCCTTTTAATGACCGCAGCTGTGATATGAGAATGGGCCGAAGTTGGAGTAATCCAATCCAGCAGTGTATCATACAGAGTGTTCTTACTCTGGGAAAGGCACAACTGGGCAGCAGTGAAAGGGAGAACTCCACTTCGCTCTGTTCATGTCAAAGCATGCGTCACAGAGGGTGCCTACATGTTATTAACGACAGGATGTTATCACTCTGGACCCTCGGTTTCCTCTTTTTTGACGATTGCGACCTCCATTTCCGCGGAAATCACTGTTGTAAAAGGACAACAGGCGGACCTAGGCAGAGTTTTCGTTTCTAACTTTCCCGTTTCAGGCGCACAACATACCCCCCCCCCTCTCCCGGCCTCTTATTCTCATCAACTGAGCCTCTAACACTTGGCAATATAGTGTGGAAAGGGGTAGCACGAAATGCAGTAAAGATGGCCTCTTACTTATTCTTAACAAGTGATGTGTTCCCTGTTACCCACCTCATCAGACCCTATCAGTTTTTTGGTTTTTTTTATCAAGTTTCGATAATCACCCCCGATAATCGCCCTGCCTGCCTCAATGCCTTCCTTCATCTTTAGAAACATTTCGGTCCTATCAGTAGCAACAATGAAAATACGTTTTTGCTGGTTGAAGGGAGTATGTCCACGTTGTCTGAGGAGATAAGCAATGTGATAACGAGATATATTTAAGCTTGACGATAAGGTAGGTTTCATTGCTGCCGAGTGGACTTGCAGATATGTCAGCTTCGTGCTACGTTCCTGTCGTCTTGCTGATCATTCTTTCGGCCGGTTACGCCCATGTCAGCGAGAAAATACTTCGCAAAGCCGTGTCTGGAGAATGGGTCCCATTCGAAGGTTCGCAGAAAGAGTCGATGGTCAAAGTAAGTGTTCCGAATCTGCAGTCCGTCTCTCCCCCATCCCTCATAGCTGCCATTCCAGGTGATGAGATTGAAAGATATCACCGGAAAAAGGAATTTCACTGACGAAGACGTTGATGCTTTCTGCAAGAAAGAAAACTCCCACCCGGTGTCATTCAACTCAAAAGAAGAAGTAACATTTCTAAAAGGTTATCAGAATGATCTTACTGAGGAGTAACTTCAAAATGCTGAGTGGCAAAAACCACGCTGAATCGGGTATATTATCAGTTTCAGAGCGGCCGCAAGCTTGACACACGTGTTCGAGAAAAAGGTTCGTGAACGATGGGGTGTGCATCTCCATCGAATCTTTCCGCTCCTAAGCACGCGAATACCTGATTTGTGTGGATCTTTTCACGTGGAGAATGACAGCTCCGCAATTGCACAGGATTTCGACACGGTTCGGCGGCGGGAGGCATTTTGTACTTTTGCTGCTTCAATGTTCCGGTCTACATGTATCACTCTGGTGAGACCTGCGAACTCTCGTGAAGCTGAACCAAGCAGAGCCACCATGATAAGGCCTGTCAGCTCAAGAAAAGGCTCTCTCGATGGGTCGGCACGTCGATGGGAAGTAGCAAAAGTATATTAGGTCAACCCATTCAAAATGCCGACAGTGTTATTCGAATAAAACAAGAGGAGAATAGATAAAAACGTAATATTTTAAAATTATATTAAACATTGAAATGAGGCGGAGGTGATGTAGTGACAAGTGGCGCGCTTACCACTCGCGCGGTCCTGGGTTCGAATCCCAGGTCGACACCCGCCCAGGCCAACCAAGCCTTCTACCCTCCGGGAACGGTAAATTGGTACCAGATTCGTCTGGGAGGATAAAACACTGACTTGTACATCGGCTGGCCCCCGCAAGTCATTGTATAGGCCACATCGCATTCAATAAGCCACTACGATTCTGAATGGAAGTAGAATGCGTGCCGCATCCCACAAAGGGATTGATTAACGGCGAAGACTTTATCCTTTATGAACATGAAATATATTATTAAATGAATCTCCTTCACCAATGACCCGCTCCCAATGCCCCGAAAGCCTTTGGACCTCTGGTACCTTCGATTTTTTCAACAAGTGTGAGTAAATTGCTGTTGATGCCAATTTCGGCAAATGACAAAACATTGTAGCGTTTGCCGTCGGAGAGTACTCTCGACTGAATAGAACAGTTGAAATCGCACGGCTTTATGATGGGCGAATGGAGGCGATTGAACCCAGGTCTCAGTATTGTTTGTGTCCCAGCACTGCCCTACAATACAGTTACTCGGGGTCTGGCACTATGACGAGCAACGGTGGCCTTCTTGTAGTTGTGTGGTATCATCCATTTGTCGATCTGATTGCCGAGGAACAGGCAATATACACCGACAGCGACGATTTTATTCTCTGTATAGAGCCGCTTGAAAGCCACAGTGTGGGAATCCTTCGCTATGATGATCATCCACTTGCGCCCACGTAACTCCTCATGGTAGAACTCGGGCGGCTTCTCATCTGCATTCATACAAAACCAGTCGGACCTCCCAGTTTCGCCGGGAGATCCTCCTTGTGCGTGTGAAGTGGTCGTGCGTGCCAAGTGAGCTCTCCCCCTAAAATTTTCTACTCAGGGTGGGGTCAGTCGGTGGTGACGTCTGCTCCTCCCCGCGGTGCCACTGGGTACTGCTCGCTTTGCGAGTTGCTAAACGCAGACACACGAATGCAGGTGACAGGCCTCCGTGACGGGCCGGCCTACGAACACCCATCCATGTTTGATCATGCCATATGTATATCGAGATAATGCTACGGCGTCCGCGGGAGCCGACGCGCACTCGTATGGCCCGGCGAGTGTGGAAAGTATGCGAGGGTCCTCGGTGCAAGGACGGCATCGGGGGGCAACCAGGCTAGTCCAAATTTCAGGCAGTGTAGCGTGTAAAGTCCGT